GTCATAAAATTGTAATTGATATAAAATATATTGTATTCTAGCTTATGTATTTTTGTTTCGCAAAATTAATTTTTGTCTTGCAGTTTGACGCCAATACTTGTTAAGAAGCACATTAAAGAATGATAAATCTCGCCCATGTAAATACGCAATTAACGTTTATGTAAGATCTTGCATGCTTTGTGCAATGCTTCAAATGTTCCTTTGAGAGATTAGCGCTTAGGGAAAATAGAGCTTCATTACGAGTTTAATCTAGGTAATTACAAAACATTCTACACTTTCTCAAGTACATTCCTTAATAAATAACAGACTTGTTTGGAAAGTTATACCTTCTTTTCCTTTGTGGCATTATTTTAATTGGACACTGATATTAATGATTTGTACAATTTAAGAGAAAATATTTATAAAATTGCTTTTTCAGCTGCAAGTTTATATCTTCGAGACTTAAGACAGTAAAAAGCAGTTTTGTCTTAAGTTAAAAAAAAATTATATATGTGGGTCAAATACATAATGCATAATACATATTTTAAAGTATTTAGTAAATTGAAAAACCTAGATATCACATCGAGATAATACCATTATCAAAAGAAAAAATGTTCCTTTATTTTTATCCTCGCAAGTTATATTTCATCTGCTAAAACTGCCACGCGCGGAAGCGACAAAATAAATGGTTGTTCTTCAGCACGTGATGTTTCCTGATAAGGTGCATTTCAAAGTAAAATGTTACGAGTGCATTGCTATTATAAAATACTGCTCAGTTAGCTTCTATATACTAAGCATACAAATTTAAAAAGCATTCTTGAACCCTTTCGTTTTGTTAACATACTTGTTGATAAGAATTTTAATTATGATATATAGTTTAATTATTTCGTCTTAAAATACTTCGGGGTCAATATCGATTCAATTACTAATAGCTTACTTTAGTGTTTCAATTATAGAATAATGTTAATAGGTTTACTTTGGATATTGTGCAAGAGTGAACTTTTTTGCACTGTTTATGACTGATTGATGCGAACAACATGAAAATACAGCACCAAAAGAGAGGCGAAAGATACCAAAGCGATATTTAGTCGGAAAAAAAACTGACAACGCCATGGTAAAAAAACGAAAAACGACCAAAACACAAATAACAGTACACAAAACGCAAGAGAGAAAACTAAAGACTAAGCAACACGAAACCCACCTAAAACAAGGGGGATATTAGGAGCTCCGGAAGATTTAGTATAATTATCCTGCTACACATCCAAAGTGTAGTAATGCACGATTTCTGTTTCTGCAGATCCGTAACATGGTGCTAGCGTCAGTATTGTCTGAAATTCCGATATTATTGAATAATTCTGTTTCCTGTAGTGATTTTTATTGTTGGTTTTCTGTGTATCTTTTGTTAGTATACCGATTTTATAAAACAAGATGTGGCTGTGAAGAGCAGATTTTAGAAAATTACAAAACCCGGCGTTCTCTCCTTTATAAAAGGACAACAAATCCCCTTCTTTATACTGGATAACTTATAACTACTTTACAAAAACCTTATAAAGAATGGTATATTCGACTAAACAACAATCTAAATTCTAAAATCACATCCAATTGGTCTCGTTATAATACACACGTAATATTAGCGACTGGATGTTAAACATCTATTCATTCGTCAATGACTTTTGAAATCTTCGGACTTGTACACTCGACGCAGAAAAGTCTCAGTTTAGTCTAACGAATGCCTTCAAAGAACTGATTGTCGGACATATCATGAGAAGTAAAATTCTTTGAGGTTATGTTATAAATTTGTGATACATTTTAAAGATACTAGTAGTCTTAAAAGTTGAATATTTCCCCCCAATTCAACCATCTTTTAATATAAAATATAAAATTAAGGAGATGTGGTATGATTGCCAATGAGACAACTATCCACCAAAGTTCAAATGAAGTGGATGTAAGCAATTGTAAAGGATACCAGCACATAACATACCGTTGGCTATTCCCAGCTTGCATCCCTTTACAGCAGCTTCGGTTGACTTCATAGAAAATAAAATAAAAATTCTGCTAAAAAATTCTTTTATGATTTTCATTAACATCTTAAAAACCCTGCTAACAAAATATTATATGATTTTCATATCTACAAATACTTGAATGTCAATAGATGATTATATTTATTCCTCTTGGGTTTACACCTCGATTGAACAAGTGGAATACAAATGGATGGAATCCTGGTAATCCTTGAAAGTTTGAATTGAAAGAAAATGTAATAAATGTTTTGGTTGAAAATGTGTTTAATCCTATCATAAATTATAGAATACATAGTTTGATATGCTTTTTGATTGTTGCTATTATTCTCCATACCTCCATCATTTGAACTGTAGAAAGAAACTAAAAAGAATTAAAGATACATGTGAAGAATGTGTTTTGTAATTAAGCTGTCTTCTCCAATAACCTGAGAATTATTAAGACATTAAACATAAGATAAAGTAAATGCTTTAAGATAATACAATTATAAACATCTGTCAAACATGAGGGTTAACTTTCCTTGACCATTCCATTCATCGTGAGTTACAGTAATAATTTAGATATCAAACTGCGAGTAAACGATTTGAATGACCGTACACTATGAACAAATTATGTTGTATTTCTATCTTGACTGAAAATAAAACAAGCATTCAGCTGATAAAATATATCGTAAACGTGTTTCAATCATGTTTCTTCGTCTGTTAGTATGTTTATTATATCTTTACCGATATAGACACAAGTTAAAACAATCGTCAATTCTGTTTATTTTGATATTAGTTGATAACGTTTCTTCAAAAAACATATTTGTACGTGATAGCTATAGGAAAATGACCCGCATGTCTTCTTGTACCTAAAGAAATCTGTGAAACTGATTTAGGCAATAGAAAAAATTATTGTATAGATGTTTACTTTTTTAACATTGAATCCCCAAGTGTGACTGGGAAGTAGAAATATGATCATTTTGGTCTTCTTCCAACCAACAATAAAACCCTTGCCAAAGTGGAGCGTCCTTTTGACTGTTCAGGATTTATAAGCTACAGTACGCAGCCACGTCCGGTCAGAATGGGGACGTAAAATCCGATTTCTAGTGGAGAGCGAGCTAGAGAGCCACGCATATGCAGGTTAAGAACCCTTCCAATAGCTCTTTGAAGGGTTCATAGATGGCCTGTTGCAAGGCAAAATTTCTGTCCCTATCCAATATACCCTCATCATCTTCCAGTGGCAATCCAAATTCATCCCGGAAGGCCTATATTACAGGATCTTACTATTGTATGTATTGTTATTTTGTTCTCTTCCTAAACTTGCATGAAATATTTGCCACTAGACGCTAAGCAAACATCAATTAACTGAAACCTTTTTAAGAAAAACCCTATTTTGCATTCCTTTTTTCCTATTTAAGAAAATTGTTAATTTGATTAGTTTTGGAAACCTTGATATACTTATGCGGTATCTTACTGATTACAAGAGCGCAATTATTTGTTTAAATTTTACCGATAACAAAGATGGTACTTCGAATAAAATCTTGTGAGGCTCCTGATTTGATGATACAGGGTACGGTTTTTTAATCAAGGTTTAAAAAATCAAGAAAATTAAATTCATATTAAACAAAGTGTAGAAAATATATTCAATTCATGTACATCAGAGTCATTGAAATATTGCCTTTCCCATTAAGCGTGGAAAAAAAAATTTGAACTGCAGTTTATGTTTTGGCTGTTATACAACGCTGACATGTCTAGTCACATGAACTGCTACCAATTTTTTTCTAGTTTGTGTATTGTTCACACTGGTACCCTACGGAAAATGCATAACAAATAATTGTTCTCTTGTAACCTTCTACATATGATACATTTATTTTCATAGTGGTATTATCAGTTTACATGTTAATCCGATTCTTTGAAACATGTTTCGAACTTAAGTATTGTATTTCATTCGGTCAAGTATCATTATATATCGGAAACTGAAATGTTAATCAAGAGTTGTGTCTAATAATAATTTTGTTTTAGAATATCTACTTGAACTGTAGCGATTAAGCCGTTCGACCATAAATGAAACTGGAAATAATGGATTTTTACATTAGATTGGGAAAAACTGAAATATAACAGTTTGGCTAAAGCACATTTTACGATAAAGCTACGTTCTCTGCTGCAACATTAAATTTCAGTAAAAAGTACATGAAGTCAAAGTCACGATCCCTCATTTCAATAAGTAAAAATTGACGAAGAAAATGAATTGGAAATCATATTGAAGACATTTAGCTAGTAAATAATTAAAAAACAAAATCAACAGTAAAGATGCTTTTAAATACCCTCCTCCAAAAATAAAATCTCCCAATAGGTCCGGTAGAAACGTCGTTGATATAAATATGAAAACAAATGATTCGTTGGGTATACGTCAATGAGAAAACCCAACAACACTATAGACATGTTGATGTTCTAAAGATATGCATGTATAACTTATTACTAACAAGAAAAATGAAGCTATCAATTAGATGGATTAATTCTGGAAGGAAAAGACTATTGACTAGAACCATTAACTTTTATTAAACAAATAATACTTCGTCAATGTCTGTCTATCACGAGTTCCAATGGTGCCAAAATTATCCAAATAATGACTATTGTCAGACATAATTAAAATCAATTGGTAATACTAGGAGATACGTATTAATGCATTCAATAATTATATATGATCGTATTTTATTATCTGCTTTCATTTACAACAAATACTTTAATTAGAAATTTGATGTTGTTAGCGCGATTTATGATGCTTTCTTGATTCATTCAGTCGTCCATTGGCGACACACAGTGTCTGCGTTAAGCTCCTAGTATTACAGCAATAAAATTCTTCTTTTATGACCAATATGTCATTTTGTTAATTTGAAGGTATAATTAAATTAAAGACAGAGAAAAACACATAAACACGTACAAAGTTTTTCTGTGACATTTAAAAGACAATGCCCTTCTTTACTATAGATCTCACTCGTAACATTTTTATTTTTTATTTTGCAGATTTGGACAGTGTAAATAAACTGACCTCGTAAAAAACAAAAATGGGAAGCTATGGGATAGGTGGAAATCTTTCAAGCCTTGTTGTAATTTTCAACTCAACACCTGAAATAGTAGCACTAAATATGACAAATGGACTTGGACCGTGTGACGATGCAACAGATGAGTATTCAGGTTTTTATAATGTGGCCCAGTTTATCACGGGTCTCATTATTTATCCAATAGTATGCATTCTGGGTATTATTGGAAACACACTGACTTTGATCGTCTTAAGTCACAAAGACATGGCGACATCAACAAATGTCTACCTTTCAGCTCTAGCTGTTTCGGACACAATCAAACTCATCAATGATTTCTTTTACTTTATAATGGTTGTTCTACAAGATCAAAATCTGGACAAGGACATGAGGCTGATTTCAAATTTTTATCCATATGCGCATTACATATTCAACATGTCAGTTTGTGTGACGGCTTGGCTAACAGTGTCTGTGGCAGTCGAACGTTATATTTCGATATGCCACATAACAAAAGCCAAGGAGATGTGCACTATAAGTAAGGCAAGAATAGTGAGCACCGTCGTGTTTCTCACAATGATAATTCTAACTGTTCCGTCTGCTTTACGTTACGAGGCAATTCATCAAGTGGACAACAACAAAAATGTCACGTGTTATACAGTGCTGCCGAGTGCCCTGGGAAATAATTCAGATTTTATGGACCCATACACATGGGTACAGAACTCCTTAAGATCTATTATACCGTTGATAGTTCTTATATTTCTAAACGCAAGAATAATTAATGAATTAAGAAAGCAGAGAGTGAAAGGCAAGAAACTTTCTTCTAGGAATAGAATAACGCTCATGCTTATAGCAATCATTATATTTTTTACTGTTTGTATAATGCCGGATGCATTTATGTCACTGTTCTTCGGCTTTGGTTACGTTGACGAATCAAATCTAGTGAAAGGAATAAGGGAAATAACAGATTCTCTGCTAGCAATCAACTCTGCCTTCAACTTCGTCTTATATTGCAGTATGAGCAAAATATTCCGAACAACATTTTCAAAGATATTTCTGACGCGGTGTTTAGCCCCGAAACCGTCTCAAGAAAGACTTTTGAACAACGGCACATGCATCGAAAAAGAAGCTAAATCTGTAAATCGGAAAGACAGTAGCAGCGGAAGCGGAAATAACAACAAAGAAACCTTTGTTTGATGTAGTAATGAACGGAATAAGCATGTGCTCTTGAGTGTAAATATTACATTTGAACTAACATTGCTCCAACACAAATTTTATTTGCGTCAAATGACTCGAGATCTTGCATGATACCCGTCAATACGAACATGTTATATATTATTCTTCATTTACTGATTGCACAAATTAATCAAAATACCGTCATGCTAAAGATAATGTGATTAAATAATATTTGACGATCTTTTGTCTCGTGTTTTTCTCATCTTGTGTATCAAGGATCGGAGCAACCATGTACTGTTTGTACAATTATAACGAGATTTTAGACACGGACTGCCCGGTGAATTATGGATGTGATATATGCCTGTTTGGCCATGCGAGTGAAACGCATTATTCTCATAGAGAAGTATACTTGGGTCTAAAACTTGTTGTTATTAATTAAATTTTCACAATATTTGTATTTTTTTTCCTTACAAGAGCAATATACATCTTTAATGTCGGTCCAACTTTGTGTATAAATATTTGATTTTTGTCCACAATCAAATAAAAACAACAGGAAAATACGTCTGTATTATTATATTTGTTGATCCTTTTCTTCTAGTTATATTCATACAACAGTTTTGTCAGTGAATTAATATATAAAAAGTAAAGACGTCTAGGGAAATAAAGTAATTGGCAAAACTTTTAGGAATTTTTGGTCCTCAATGCTCTTCAACTTCGTACTTTATTTGGCCTTTTTTTTTTTAACTATTTTTGATTCGAGCGTCACTGATGAGTCTTTTGTAGACGAAACGCGCGTCTGGAGCAAGTACAAAATTTCAATCCTGGTATCTATGATGAGTTTATTTAGATTCCCGATTATTAAAATAATATTATTGTTAGATTAAAAAACAACCTTTCCGCAATTTGTAAAACCAGTGTTCAACTTGTTTTAAACTTTTTTTTTAAAATTTTGCAATGATATGCAACGTTTTTATTCTGTCATTCAAATTATGTTTTGCAATTTCTTTCTCACGAGCAAAATATAATATTTATGTAAGACTGGTAAAGAATATCGATTGTAATTACTTCTTCATACTCAAATGTTTGTACTTTCATTTGTAATATATTTCCATATAGGGGTGTTACTCCATTAAATACATTTGGAGGAGAAAGTGAAGTTGAGAATGTACAATCATGTTTGATGATTTATATGTCTGGAAAATGTAAATGTACGATACGAATTTACTCATTTGGGTAAAGTCTTTTTGAAGTAAAAGCACTAAACCATTTTTGAACTTTATGCTTTCATCCCTAGACGCAATATCTGCATTCGAAGAATTTATATGTATTAATGGAGTGACACCCCTTTCAGCTTTTAAATGATTTTATGTCAACTGAGATCTAACTTAAGCTTTGTATTTGTATTATTTAGCAGAAACATGTTTTCCATTGTGCATCAGTCCGAAAATAAATCATATCTACTTACTTTTGTTATTTCATACGCAGATAAGAACTGCTAAACGAATTCAGGGTGTTGTTGTAACAGAAGTAATAGGGAAAAATAGAGCTTGGGTATTGAGACATTTTTTATGTTGATATTATAGTATTTCTTTTTGGTTAATCTAGTCCACCGCTTTCCTATAGTCTTTAAACATTTTCCAAAATATTCTATAGATACATGTTTGTACTAAACGTAACTAAATGACGTGTAAAGCTAGCAAAAATGGATATTTTCGTATTGCATTCTTGAAATGTTTAAATTCTTTTGTTGAATGGTTGAATATTGTCTCACTTGCCTATATTTCTTTTTTTTATATATAAGACCCTTGGAATGGGAAAGCTACTTTAAAGTACAGTTTTCTCTACACTTTCAATGTCTTGGTAGTTTATATTCACATTATAACTATTTATAAATAACATACACATTCTAGTTAATCTAATTTAGAACTAATTACGGTCATGGGAAGTAGTAAATTTCAGGTAAATGAGTTTTCTACTTACTTTTCACCCACCCTTAGAGATATTTCAATGGAGAATATAGGATATGGCGTATTAATTAATGACACACGCATTTATCAAATTCCACGGCAAAGGGACAACAATTTTATTACTTTTTCTTCGTCTCAAAATCACAGTGAGGCCTTCACCATGGACACGGAATAAATTGACATCTCAATGTAAGTTCTAGAAAGCCCCATAGCATCGGTTTTAGTAGAATTGTTTGCTATTTGTCGATAACGATACACATATACATCGAAGAACACAGATACAGGGTTATATCAACACATAAGACTTAGAACAAAGAAATCTTACAGCAATTGCATCGTAAAATAAAGAAACAATATAAAAACTAAGACAAACACGGGACGTATCAAGATAAATGTAAGATAACTTGGCAGGAAATAATGTATGAACAAAATAATTCAGATGGTCAACTCTGCTGTTTCAATAAACAAACATGTCGAAATAGAAAAGGTAACTGAAGTTATTTAAGAAATATATACATATTCGCCATAACTTATAACATGCACTTAAAATCCAAAATCCAAATCAAAGGTGTTTAATGATAATGGAATTGTGTTTAACGTTCAGTGGAAAATATTACACGCATATCAGGACACGGACATGATATGAAAATGAACCCTGCTTTGTACTACATGTACACTGACACGCTGAGTTGGATTTTTAAAAGGGGTTTTTGGCATTGATTGTTATCAAAATGGTCGCAGATGATTATATTAAGTTATTACAAGTTTTTAACAATATAACTGTTAGAATGTCCCATCCAATGATCGTCAAATGATTAAACCTGTTTCTGAATAAGAAAGACGACATATGCTGTCATCGGGTCCAATTTTCAACCAAAAAAAAAATCCGTTTTTACGTCATTTCCAATTAACAAAAGTAACTAGTCGCCATATTTTGTTGAATTTAGTTGAGCATTACCCATCAAATGATACAATTTACCACTAAAAAAGGACACATACGGTTTTGGAAATGCCTTTCCAATTTATAAAGTACATAGCAACCATGATATACTTTCCGATTCAGTAGATTATGAGCTGTCACATGGCACATTTGTTAACCAAACAGGACTTTGTAATTTCTTGTTTGCTAAGTAATCAAATATTTTTTGAGATAACGAAGGTATACGTTTTTACAAAGGTCTATTCTAAACAAGAGACAAATTTTCGTTCTGTTACTCATTGCTTCTGTGTTTGTTTGTTTTTTTTTGTTTTTAGTTTCATTAATTTCAATTCGCTTTTTGTGTAGTTTAAAACAAGACTAAAATGGTTCTTAATTAATTTCTGTTTCAAAAATTCATTAGTAATGCACCTATTGCATTGCACCAGTAAGTAATTACTGCAATGTTAATGATGCTTACTCCAAATAGAAGTCGTTGATACTAGAACAGCATGATTTCTAACAGGTTAAGAAAGTACTTTTAGCATGAGTTTAGCAACTGCAAGAATATTAGTAACATACCATTTGAATTGCACAAGATCGTAATGCCTGTACTGTTCATAATGCATGAAATTTACTCCAAACAACAGTTACTGATACAATCTAGGACGGCCTGATTTCTAGCAGCTTGCGCAAGTACTTTGAGCTAGCTTTAAGTAACTACCAGCAGCTTTGAACGAAATATTTTTTAGCATTTTTTACTTATATGTTGGTTTTTGTATTCTATTATATGGCTAATATAGAGTTAATATGTGTTTTTTTTAACAGATTTTTATTGTTTGTTGTTCTATATAAAATTAAGGCGCTGTGGTATGATTTTCAACGAGAAAACTATCCACCGGAGACCAAATAAAGTGAATGTACGTAATTATAGGTCATTATAGTTTTATGTCCTCTTTGTTAATACAAATAAATAGGTGGTTGAGTGCTCACAAGTTCACGTGCTTGTCTCGTGTACAGAGCATCCTCAGTGGTGTTCTTTATTGGTCTAAAATGTTTTTATCCTTTACGTCATATACCTAATAGGCTTTGTTTGACTTATAATTCCAAACTTTACTTGATTTTTGACAATTTAGAGCTTAACACATTGTATGATGATGATCACTTTTCTATTGTTGGAGACTGTAAAGTTGACTTTGACACATGTACTTTAAGGTATATTTTAGGTCATAAGGTACAAGTACTTGTGTAGGTGAAGCTTTAAAGAAATTTCCATTTATTTATTTTAGAAATAATGGTAACATATTATTTCGAACCTGCATAATTAAACTGAAGAAACGACTGCATTTTACCAACTTGCAAATAAGTATAAATCAATTTTGGCAGGGAACCGATGTAAGATTTTCAGACCAAATTCAGAAAATGCATACATTTATCGGAGACTATCTTTTTTTAAAAGCTGAAACAAGTCAATTAAAACATATAGTACCACAATTGGTGATTTTCAATATCACAGAACAAGAGAGTAGCCTTTTCATTCTTGCTTCGTTGTGAAAGAGACTATCACACAGAACCAAACTTTGACTGTCCATGGGGTTAAAACACTAAATCCCTGGGATGTGTTTTAATTAATTTTAGTCTCTGATGCATGATTTTTTATTGTTAATTGTTTTTGGCTATTAACTAGCTTTCAGTAACTGCGAGTACTCTCAAATCGCTTTGATAAGTAATTAGTATGACGATACATTTTAACTTCTGTACTCGTACTATGAACAACAAATTTATTAATATTGTAAAAAATGTTTACCTCCGTACTCCTAACAACAAAATTATATTCAAATTTACATGTGTACGTTGTTTTATTTAACGCCATTTTGTCCCAGGTAAGAGTTGTCTTATTGACACTCTTCCTACATCTTTTTTATTACTACCTGTAACGTCTATGTTATATAGGCACCTACGTTTTAATATTGTATTTATATTGTGTCATAGATCAAACTTTATCGTTCAGTTTATGTTTATTTGTTTTTGTTTAAATTTTTTTTTTATCGACTTAAGCCAATTTCAATTGATATTTTATAGTGTGTCTTTTATGTTGTAATGTTTAACTACTGTCTCAGGTTAGGGTGAAGGTTGGCGCTTGTTAAAAAGTTTAAACCCGCTGCATTTTTATGCACCTGTCCTAAGTCAGGAGCCTGTTGTTCAGTGGTTGTCGTTTGTTGGTGTGGTTCATAGGTGTTTCTCGTTTCTCGTTTTTTTATATAGATTAGACCGTTGGTTTTCTTGCTTGAATTGGTTTACACTAGTCATTTTGGGGCCCTTTATAGCTTGCTGTTCGGTATGAGCCAAGGCTCTGTGTTGAAGGCCATACTTTGACCTATAATTATTAACTTTTTATACATTGTGACTTGGATGGAGAGTTGTCTCATTGGCACTCATACCACATCTTCTTATTTATAAAGGCATAACCTGAACCATATGACACCATAGCAAGCTGCCCAAACATTAAATCCCATGCCAATAGAAAGCAACAATCATTTAGCAGGTCACAATAGTATACTGGTAAGATGAAGAAGACCCTTAATGCCACCAAAATTTAGTTTATGGACGGCGTTGCTCTAACATCTGTTTACCAAGCGGAAAATACTTCATGAACATTCATGTAAAATGCAAAATGTATTTGATGCTGAAAATTATAGGATATGTGATAATAGCCGTTATTATGTCTCTAAATTTGAAAATAAATCATACCAAAATACACAATATGTATTATTAAAGAATTGGATGATATATTAAGGCTGGTTATTTTAGTGCAGAATTGTCATATTTGAGATGTCTATAATGATTCACTACACATGATATAATTGAAATATATATGCATAGTTCAACTTTATTCGTTCAGTGTATGTTTACTTGTTTTATTAATATGTCTTTTTGATTGAGTTAAGCCATTTCAATTGATATTTTATAGCATGTCTTTCTATGTTGTAATGTTACACTACTATTTCAGGTTAGGGTGAAGGTTGGCGCCTGTTGAAACATTTAAACCCGCTGCATTTGCTTGCACCTGTCCTAAGTCAGAAACCTGTTGTTCGGTGGTTGTCGTTTGTTGATGTGGTTCATAAGTGTTTCTCGTTTATCGTTTTTATATAGATTAGACCGTTGGTTTTCTTGATTGAATTGTTTTACCCTAGTCTTTTTGTGGTCCTTTATAGCTTACAGTTCGGTGTGAGCCAAGGCTTCGTGTTGAAGACCGTACTTTGACCTATAATTGTTTACTTTTTACACATTGTGACTTGGATGGAGAGTTGTCTCATTAGCACTCATACCACATCTTCTTATTACTATTATATAACATATTTACAAGCCTTGCAAATAGTACAAAAAGCTATTAACATGTATCAACTGAAATATTAACAACAGTCTTAAAGTTACATTAAAAGAGACTCATATCAGCATCTTTTGACAAGACATTTTGAGGAGAAAGATCTTTTTAAGGTTAAGTTGTTGTTGGTATATCTATATCCCAGGAAAATTCACAAATGACTTTGACAGATTTCGCTAAGTTTACTTAAATGTAAGAAGTTTGAAGGCTTAATTTAAATATGAAAGTCAGACTTCAAGATAT